GAATTTTTTGACTCTGATCTTATAAAGCTGTTCATTTACTGTCCTGAGTATTATCTGCTCTCCACATGTGATCTTCCCAGCAAGGTCATAATTATCCTGACCATGATGTTACTTTCCCACCCACATTTCCTCTCTGTCACAGGGTCTGCCATGTCAGAAATACATTTCTGACAAGTTTTTGTATTAATGTATCTTTGTAGAAAAGTCTAATAACGAATTGATCCGCTGCACATCAGGCAAGAGCTGAGGAAAATAATCATAAGTTTTTTCATTTGGAACAGATCCTCTCCTTCTTGTTCAGAAGTACTTCCTACACTCTTAGCTCTGTACCAAAAACAAAACAAAACAGAATCAAAAACAGGGAGGGAGGTTTCCATGCCCAGGGTAGATTTGCATAAGGTCGATTTGCATGATTCAATAAAAGGAGAGTTACAGGCAGGGGAGCCACAGGGATGCAAAGCTCCCTGGAAATGAAAGTCCTCACTCCCTGACCTGAAGTCTGTTTCTTCAGTGTTTATTCTTTCTCCACTCTGCAGGCAATGATCCCCAAATCCAAAATTCCAACATGCCCAGAGAGATGATCAGGAGTTTCTTTCCAAAACGGAAGTGCTTTGTCTTTGACCGGCCTGTCACCTCCAGAAAACTATTAGTCCATATGGAGGACGTGCCAGATGACCAACTGGATGACAGTTTTCAGATGCAGTCCAAAGCTTTCTGTTCCTATATATTCACCCATGCAAAACCCAAGACCCTAGGAGAGGGGATCACAGTCACTGGGGGAGGTGAGTCTGTAGTTGCGCCTGTCCCTCCGTTGGTCTGGGTGTGTGATGGAGCTTTGAGTGCACTCTGGTTTTGTCAACAATTGTGTTTCATTCTGTATGTAATGTGGGAAAGCAGATGTTCATGCCACACACTGAAATGCATGCTTCTTCACTAAAATTTTCCTACATAAGGGTTGTTGAAGCCTGTCAACTCTCATAATACTATTACACTTATAGTATAAGGACAGACTCCTGTTAAGTTAGGAAAAATGCACATTGATGAGACGTCTAATGGGATAAGTGTTGGAGCTGAAGATACACAAGACGCTCTGTGAATTTGCATGAATGAGGAAACAAATACCAGGTCATGAACAATGTAGTCTCACTGAGTGAGAGACAAATGCATACTCAGTCTCACGTCCTGTGCTGGCTTCATGCACGCGCCCCCTGGGCAGTCACACGGGGCTCTGTTCTGAGATTGGCCCTGCTTGTTTTAGTATTTCTGCCACTGTCCTGAAATTCTTGATGACACTTTTACATGGGTTCCACACTTTCATTACAAATAGCGCCCACAAACTGTGTACATTATGTGCGTGTGTAATTAGTTCTGTTTATTTTACTACACTGGGAAAGGATGTTCTTGGAGACCCTTGAATATATTGTTCAAGATCTTTCACCTAATATTATAATGTGATGCATTTGAGAATCATAAGATGGAGTGATTAGAAGACACAGTGATGTTATTATAAAGAAGAGGATTCATGGAAGAAAGAGAAGGAGGAGACAAGGCTGAAGATAAGATGAAGATGAGAAGAAAGTGAAAGAAAAATAAATTCTGTCAAAGCCTAGTGATTTTTAGAATGCAGATCTCTAAAGCTAAAAAAATCCCAAACAAACAAAGAGGTAAGAACTGAATCTGCTGCCCTAAATATCCTGTGTCACTCAGGGTTGGGGACGCTGGCAGTGGCCTACGTGGACACCATCAACAGTGGGGCAGTTCCTTGTTTGGAGAACGCAGTGATGACTCTGGCGGAGCGTGAGAACTCAGTGGCCGTGGAGAAGGCAGCCGCCCACTACAGCGAGCAGATGGCCCAGCGCCTGACCCTCCCCACGGACACGCTGCAGGGGCTGCTGGAGGTGCACGTGGCCTGTGAGAGGGAAGCCATCGCAGTCTTCATGGGGCACTCCTTCAAGGATGACAAGCAGGAGTTCCACAAGAAACTTGTGGTAACGTGCCTTAGCAGGTCTCCTTCCTGAGTCTGTTCTTCTGGAATGATCCCAGACTCCCTCTTTGTCCCCATGGCTCATGTGCTACTCATCATAAACTGAGTTTAGATTTTTATGACTGACAAAGTCTATGGGCTACAGTCCATTCTTTTTCTAAAAGATGGGCTTTTATTTTGGACTGTGAAACATGAATTACTCTCTGCTTAGCAGCGTAACGAACACACATTTAGTGATTTCCGTTCCTTCAGGTCAGCTCCCAGCCCAGGGCACGTGGGTGGTCTTCTCAGTGCACTGTGGCTGGAGACGAGGGCTTGGTCCTTACATGGAGGCTGCGGTGAACAGCCCTTCGTCTTTGACCCAGCCATGGTGCATTGCAGCCATCTCTTTTCTGATCACTCTGACTTCCTCTTCTGCTACCAACAGGAGAAAACACCTTTGAAAGGGCCTGTGATTAGGTAATGCCCACTCGGGTAATCACCATTTCATAGAATCACCTGTGCTGTGTAACATAATTTAAATACGGGATGAGTGTTCATTGTGTTCACAGGTCCGGGGACTCAGCAGAGTGTGGACACCAGTGGGGACAACTCTTGGAGATCACAATTCTCCTCACCATAGGCACCTTTCCTGAAAGTTTGACTTTTGACCATCCTACAAGTTACAAAAATCTTAGTTCACATAGAGCAAAGCCAGCTCAATTGTAATTAATAAGTTTATGCAAAAAAAGTCTGTTCTTATATTTTCACACACACAAATCCTCAATGAAAAAGAATCCATGAAGAGTTCAGAACTCTGGAGAGTTTGTTGTTAATTCATTAATAGACCAGTGACTTGCTAAGTACATGTTCTTATCCATAGCTCTCAAGTTTTCAGAAGAAACACTACTCCCATTCATAATGAAAATTTCATTTCTGTTGTGGGTGAATGGCTGACTGTTAGTCCTACTACAGTTAAGGGAATCATGGACATCATACCTGCCAACCCCATCATTTCACAGGTGTGGAGTCTGAGCCCACAGGGTTTCAGAGACTTCCCACAAGGCACACAGAGAGCTGGTCAGAATTGGGGCTAGATCTAGTCTCCTGACTTCATGTGTATTATCTTGTGTCTCATGCACCCTGATGCTGTGAGACTGCTTCTTCTAAAGGAACGCAGTTGGAGTTTCCCTTCTAACAGTTTCTTTTTATCAGATTTCACCACATTTCCCTGGTAGGTCACCATCCAAACAAAGAAGGAAGACTTCTTGGTGCAGAATGAAGAGGCCTCTGTCAAATACTGTCAGGCTGAGCTTCAGAAGCTTTCAGAGCCCTTGACTGAACATTGTTTGAAAGGAACTTTCTTTGCTCCTGGAGGACACAAGCTCTACTTAGAAATAAGGAACAAGTTTGAACAGGAGTATATGCTGCTGCCCAGGAAAGGAGTCAAGGTGAGGAGTAAAGGGGTGGGAAAAGAACAGCAGATTGGAGTCAGAGGTTCTGTGCTGATTCATGTGGTTGCCAGGTCCTGCCTTGTGCAGAAGCCACTATCTGCTGCTTGAGACCAGGTCACCAGGACACTGACTTTGGAGCCCTGGGGGGCTATAGTGCTGGGTTACTGGTGAGGGGAGTAAAGGTTTCAGGAGATGTTGGTAAGTTGGCCACCCACTGGTGAATGAGGCCATGTCACAGGATAATGTCAGCCAACCCAGAGCACAAAGCCAGGTCCTGGGG